TATATATATCAAAGAAAAGCCGTTACAATTAAAATAGCCAGACAACAAAAAAAGTGTCTAAAATCATAAGACGTTTTTTGCGTCTAAAAGACGACTTAAAGACGTCATAATTTTAGACTTTATGTTATTTGGATACTTATGAAATATTTAATAATTGTTTAAAATCTCGATCGAGCACTTTTGCCATGATAAACTTTGATAAACTTCTTTGATAAACTTAGGCAAGGTTAATTTACAATAGACAACTCAGCAAAATCATGCTGCTTATCTGTTGTGATAATTATTTTTATATAATATCTTTTAATAAAATTGTTAATAATTTAAAAATATCTTGTATTTATTGCTATTTTATTCCGATTTGTAGATTTCAAATAATTATTAAATATTTCATGATAAGTATTTCTATTACATTATGCCTATAGATTTTTAAATATATTTCCGGTGCTATTTGTCAACGTAAAATGATTTTTTTTAAAGAGAATGTGTGTGATTCTTCAAGAATTGTTAAATAAACAAAAAAATTTAATCTTTATCAACGTAATATTAATATTCGAACAACTCGTTCGTAAGAAACTTGATCTTTATTATTATACGCGCATTATGATTATATGGATTTAAATATATCCTAGAGCAAATATGTTTACAATATAAGAAAAAATTTACCAGTTTGTCTGATGTTATCACGTTGTCCAACTGGAGAGACAAATCGAAGCCTGCTAAGACTTTATAGATATATAAACATATACACCTATCACTTATTACAATTTAAATTATAATTATCAGAACAAACGTAATTAAAATCACAATTTATTTGGACAGTATAGTAATAAAGTCTGTTCGTTTCAATTAATAGCCCGTAAAAAATTAATAGCCCGAATTAATTTTATATACATCGACAATAAGAAGCGAGATAAAAAAATTTACAAAAATATCAGTTATATCATCAGTTTATCGCATTAAGATGGTTCTTTAATAAAGTGCCAAAAATTTAGGGTGCCTTACCAGGGCCCACCCAAAATTACAAATATCTGCATAATTTGGATATAAAATAGTAAAAATGCATACATATCTTAATGAAATAGTATGGAACATATGATAATAAATTAAGAGCTGCATCTTCATCGAACGGAAACAAGATAAAATTATGTTTACTTTTCGAAGTTAAATTTATATGCAAGTTTATGCACGTAAATATCTTTCTTTCCTTGAATGATCCTTGACCTATTATTTTTTTATGATCATTAAAATCGTAATTTTTAAAACTATAATTATAATTTTGTTTTTAAGAAGAAAATCTATGATAAAATTTGTACACAGTTAACAAAGAAGCATTTGCGAGCTTCATCTATCATTAAGATTACATTTTCAACATTTTTTTCTCTCTTATTTCATCATTAACCTATCATAGAATTTTGGTCACACGTCAATTTCGGTACTTCATTATATAACAAAATTAGACATTTCTATGGCAACTCGATTTATTAAAGGATCATCTTAAAAATTTCCAATGAGTTTTACACTTGCGTTTTACACTTTTTCACTTCAACGAAAGAGACGGAACCATATAATACGTTAATTATATTACTTAACAATTTCAAAACAAAATCCACGAAGTATTATTTTTAATGTCAAAAATGATATACATAAGCGATAATTTTATTATAATTATTCTGTTTATCCTATTACAGTTAATCGTTTCATTACATCAAGATGAAACTTATAGATAGGCTAGAATGACGTAGTCAACTTTTAATTTACTGTGAAAATCGGTCTTCCAGTATCTTTAATGTTATCACGCGTTCTAACTTGTTATATCTGTCAAAATATGTTATTTTATCGGACACTATGGATCGATATAGGATACGATAAGTACTAGATTCACCCATGCCGAACGTAGCGAAGAATTCCCCCGACGGTGACGAGATCAAGTTGTGTACTGTTGTGAGACGACATCGCCTTGAAACGCATTTAATGCGTTTCTACTGTACATACATACCTACGTACGAAGCGTTAGTACATAATATATTAGTTTATAATAGGTACCTGCTACGTTTGACGTCTCGCTCTAGAAACGGTAAAGCTCAGTTGTGTTTGATATTCCTACAACAGCACGAAAACTATTTCTCGTTTTATCTCAAATTGTCTCACGATAATCCTTCGGTACACACTATTATAAACTTGATAATCATAAAAATGCTGAAATTTTTAATTATGTAACAGACTCCTATACAGAATAAATGCGTGTGTTTGCGTTTTATTGATCGCTTGACGCAGACTATCGTGAATTGTGAATGGATGATGGTCGTCGTCCGATATGTGATACGCTACTAGTACTGAAAAGATATAGTATGTGTAACATTAACTATGTAGATTTTTAATACTGGCAATGTATATCAGAAGAAGGTCAACGTCTAATGCAACTATCAGTCAGAATTTTTTCTATGTCATTCTAGATAAAATGTAATTTTCTATTCTAAAAAAGACTTTATTTTACACTTAAACAAAGATCGAATACATGCTAACGTGTGAAAATGTTATAATTGATGTAAGATACAATGATACGGTTCTTTTTTTAAATATTTGCAGTATAAACAAATTGAATTCATTGAGAAGATACATTGAAATTATTCTTGTGTATATTTTTTATTTAAATTGTCATATTATTGTTATAAACAAGCATATTTTTTTTAGAAAAATGCATATAAAGTGCATAAATTAGAAAGGCAAATATAGTATTATCTATTGTTCTTGTTTTGGTATTAAAATGCGAGATTTGTTTAAATTTGTATAAAAGTATTGCATATGTACAAAAATATAACATATAAGTTCACAATTTGTAAATTTTATACATTTATTATTATTTACTAATTGTAAGATTCATATCAAGCTATTCAAAAAATTATGGAAATTTATATTACTTGTGTCTTTAATAAGTAAAAATTAAATAAAAATTAATTAAAAAATAATTAAAATCGAACAACTAGTGCTAGATGTTAATGATATTCTTTTTCAAGCTATATAATATAGAACAATTAATTAGAATCATTATATAAACGACAAGGATGATAACAAGTAAGCGAAATATCTACCTTATCGTTTAATGATAATTTGCTTCTATATAAAGTCTAGAGATGTCATCGAGTGTGTTGTTTCGAATATGCTATTATCTTGTTATCTTAAAGACAATCTTCTTATTTAATTTATAGTAAATTGTAATTGATTTTTTTTGTATATATTAATAATTATTATAACATTATGTAATACAATATAAAGTAAAGTTCTAATTGCTTTCAATAAATCATAGAAAGTAGGCTATAAATGTGTGTTTCAGAATACACGCAACTTAGTAAGAATAATTTTTTAATAATATTGAAAGATAAGATGGTAAATAAATAAAACTTGAAGATAAATTTTTATAATACATAAAATACATATTAAGTTTTAAATTTAATTTTTGCATTTCACGCTCGTTTATATGCAATATCGAAATAATTAGATCAAATGAGTATATTCCTCGAAATTTTTTTCAAAGAGCAGTTTGCTTCAAACGTAAAACAAAATAAGAGATTAGGGTCTCCAGCTTTAATACACTATAAAAAATTTAAAAATTTTCTTGGAATTGACACACATTTTGCATACAATTTACTGCATGCACTTTTTTAGGGTCAACTAATATAGATAGAAAAAATCGCGCGAAGTTTGCCGCACGAAAAGTGGAAATCCATCAAGATTAAATATCATAATGCTTAAACACGCTTTATAGCGTGTATATTAACTTCTAAAACGCCAGGTGAAGATTTCGCAGCAATGTCGGAATATTCTTTGGATTCTTTAGAAAATGTTGAGGATAATTCCTTGAAGAAACGTAACTCGATCAACAGTGATAATAACGATAACCTAGGAACAATCAAATCCAATGACAGATTCAGTAAGAATACATTTCAATTGAATTCTACATTAACAACGTTATCTCAGATTAAAGGTATCAAAAAAAGATGTACTAAATTTAATCTTAGAAAATAAAAAGTTTTAAAAAAAGGATTTAATAATAATCAAAAAAATATCTCTAATAGTTTTGACAAAAAATTTGCTTCTTTGAAGAAAACAATATTATATTTTTAAAAGATCAATAAACTAAATTAATTCTGCCTCATCAAATTAAAAGAAAAGTCGCGAAGTGAAAGGCAAAAGAATAGCTTATGATATATAATGTCGATATTTATAAAAAAATAACGTGAGATTTGGTTGAATATCTCTTCAAGATCTGTTGAAGGTAATGCTCCGGGATTAAAATCCTATATTATCGTATTACATTGGAAACGGCTCTCGTTTTCCCCTCGTTAACGGGAGATAATTGCGCGCGGGAACGTGTATACGTGGCGCGTAAACAATAAAAAAGACGAGGCAGTAACGAGAGACGATCCGCATAATGCGATTCGCCGTAATCCGGAAAGTCGTAGCTTTCGTTGACGGACGGACAGATAACGCGCACTAATTAATTAATGATTAGCACACAGTACCACCAATATGGCGATGGTCGTCGGGAAGTCGATTGAAAGTTCGATGGCAGTCTGAGAGCTTGCGGACTGAACGCAAAACCGAAGGCGATCGATCGTCTCGTTAACGACAGTACCAATTATATAATATAAAACGTAATATCTGTGGTTGATTCTCCTCCTCTCACTTGGTCGTTCGCGGTAATGTAAAACTCCGCGGGATAATTAAAACGACGGACAAAGTAGGTGGGATAAAGTAACGCGAGAGAGAGTAACGTGAATAGCAAGGAAATCCGCTATTGATTCTAACGGGAAAAATGCGGGAAAGAGTGAGAGAATAATGGAATTTTATTATATTCCGGGCGAAAATATATCGGAAACGATAAACGGTAGAACATTAAAGAGAGAAGAGTTATGTTAGGAGAAAGAGATACATTTTATACTCGTATGTTTTATATGTCGCCGTATAAGTTAACAGAATTATAATACAATGCGTGCAAACGCGGATGTTAATAAATGGAAAAATTACACGAGTACAAATTGCGTTACGTCAATTGTAAAATATTTAGAAACGCTGACCTATTTCGTGATGATATAAGTTTATCTAGTTTTTATGCAAGTACAGCTTCGCCGTGCAAAAGAGCGCATTCTAATCACGCATTCTCTCGACAATCTTTTAGACAATATGACGGAGGCCAACTGCACCGTACGTGAGGACAGATGCACGGGAACAACCGGCGTCAGGAATTCGATAATTACGAGCGGAAGAGGATTCGCCCGACGACAACAGGAATGCCGCGCGACTCGGGAAGAACCATGGCTTTGCATAAGAAAGAGGAACGACGTTGGGGAACGGCATTCAGGAGAAAGCGACGAGAGTTGTCGTCGTCGTTGTCGTCGTACGTCAAGACCGACGACGATGGCAACGACGACAACGACGACGACAGAGATGGAGCAATGTTCCCTGGGGGCGCGAAATTCTTCGTCAAAATGCAGTCTGCGCGACAACGGGGGTGGTATGAGAGCCGACAAAAAACTCGGCAACGTTCTCATACCATCGATCCGGGAACCGGCCAGGACTACTTCGTATCTGGAGCTTTATCGGCGCAGATTCAGTTAGTCTCTAACGAGATCCTTCTTTGGAACATACGCGGAACAGTGTCGAAACGTGTTGCCGGCTTCTCGCGTCGCGCTCGTCGACGGTGGATCTTGATAAAAAAGAGGCAAAGCGGTGCAATTTTCCCCTGAGGGCGTTTACTTTCTTTCGTGATTAGAAGTCGGGTGCGTTCTGCGTCGCGAGAGAGATTGGACGAAGGGAACAATCAGATTCCCAATCCGACGGACGAATCTTGTCGCATAGCTTGACGTTGTCGTTTCGTTTCTTAAAGTAGAGAAATTTTTAAATTGCGAAGATAACAGGCCAACGAAATTCTAGGCCCCGTGTTACCTATGTTTTCCATTTTGATCCGGTATGAGGAAAGCATGGCGACAAATGTACCAATTTTAGAGTCCAATTTTCATGAATACAAAAGTTAAAATTATCATTTCAAATACAATGCAAAAAATGGTCTGTTTCTCTTCTCTGAACTTTTAAATTGAAGTAAGCTTTTTAGCTGAATTAATTTCCCGCTCAGAGAAACTATTGACATTGAATTATAAATGTGAATGTGCGAATTCTCTCTCTCTCTCTCTCTCTCTCTCTCTCTCTTTTTTATCTTTTGAACAGAAAAAGCTTTTATTTGCGTAATTTATGGGGATCTTATGTAAATTTGTCAGAAATTTTTTCTCCATTGCACACATGAGAATCTCGACTATTCGCTAATATACTGTCATTTACCCTATGTCCAAGCGACACGGTAGGGTTGAGAATACTGAATCACACATTCGAGTTTTATTCAAACACGTTATTGTAAGGCATGGAGTTTTATTTTGCGAGATGCTCGCCGCGAAGGGAGACTTTACCGCGGCGCGATGCAGGCATAGCTACCACAGTTTCTACATATTACGGCGCAGTAAAGTTGCACGATGAAAAAAGTTATATTTTTGCGAAAGGGGATTAAGCGTCCGCTTCCTGTAAAATATCTGAAACTTTCGCCAGAAATACTGTAACCGCTTTACTTTTTTTTTTCTGCGATGCACAGGTCTGTCTCCTAATTGTGAAAGTAAACTAATTTTTCGCACAGGAAGGATGACAGGATCCATAATTATACAAAAAATATTTTTTTGATAGTTTATTATTTTAAATAACTTTTGTTACTAACAGATATATTCATCATCTCTCATCTCATGTTTAGAAAAATAGAAAATAATAAAATTAAATTATGATATTCTAAACTTTCTTTTTCAAATAAAACAAAATCAGTTAGAGTAATTAAATACTTTTGGCCAAAATTAAAATAGTAATTACATCATATTTATAAATATTTAT